TCATTTTGGAGTTCACGCTATATCCTTTTTTATTCAATTTGTTTGTTTATTCAAAATCTACTTTACGAGATTTAAACTTCTGTATTTTCTTTGTAAGAATTATCCTATTTATGACAACTTTCTTGATATCGTTTATACGAAGGTTTATCAGAGTAATCTCCCGAAAGACATTTTGATTGCTTATGCATCCTTTACATACATTGAAATTATGTTTTTTTTTCTCAAAATTGTTCGTTACATCCATAGAATTTTGTATTCTATTTTGACTAAAGAACTCGATACATTATAAAATAGGGAAGCAAAATTAAGGGACAATAAAAACGAGATAAATAGGAGAAAAACATTCGTTTCTTTCAATGTGTTCGGAATCCCAATGGTACCGAAAACAAATTTTGTATTCTTGATACTGAATAGGATATAAGAATTACATGTTGGAATACGTGTTCTTAGCAATAAATGCCCTCTATTCTAACGAGAAATGTGTCATAAAAAATTCATATTTAGTGTGAAATATGGAACAGTAAAATGTTATTATTTCATCAATGAACTTGTATCCGCAGGTTTAACTTGCCATTAGACTCGACATGCCAAAATATATTCTTTTGGAAATATAACTAGTTTTTTCTTACATACATGTACATGACTTTGACACTTGATGCTAGTAGTATTTACATTCATTTTGAAATTTCATACTTTGACTTTTAATATTTATAAGACTTATACGTATTAAAAAGGTGAACTATTATTAATAGCTGGATATCTTTTTATGAAATCCTGATTTCTAAAGACAAAGTCATGACAGTTTTTTAAAATCTTTTTGTAACTGGTTCGTTCATCCTCTGATAATCCTATTTCACAAATGAAATCAGTATTGCTTAAATAAAATATTTCATCACGTAAGAAAATAGTTAAATACTTATTATTATGTTCAAGATTCATAGAAGTTTGATAAAAATCTGAAAAAAAAATCACCCTTTTACAAAATTTGAAGATAATTGAAGGTAGGGAATATGTCTATCATTGTTCATTACCATCCTTATATTTGGCAAGGCATAACTTGTATAATTAAATAATAATATAAGGATTACACTTACATTGTTTTTTACTGACGACGTTTTAACCTGCTTATTATTAATTAAGATAATAAATTGAAATTGTTAATAATTGGACTGTGACGATGACTTTCAAAATTGGAAAAAAATGATATTGTATGTTGAATTATTTAAGCTTTTAATTTCTCTCCCAAACATTTAACACCATTCTTTTTGACTGTCATAATAAATATTAACATTGAACAATTAAATTTAATCTTTCGTATTTTTCGAAACAGCTTTACTATTAAGGACTAAAAGGTCTTTTGGCTACTATACTTAATTCATTTAAAATTGGATATGTTTGAATAAAATAGTCATTAAGAGTAATACACTTGTGTAAACCCATTTCTTAAAATGTTGAAATTATATTTTCTATTCAAACTCGAAATATCTAAGCATATCAAAATATATTTTATTGGGGTTGTTTTCTACAAACAGAAACACATCTATTATTTAGATACAACTCTACTTTCTAATGAAATAAGAATATGTTTTTTATTTTAATTTTTTATTACAACATTATTCTAAAGATGCATACTAAATGAAACTATAAACTGTACATCAGCACCAATTTAATAAAAACTTACATTAACCGGAATAAATTATTATATATTCAATCATGTAGTTAAATATGCATTCAAATGTGACCCCAAAACGCACTTTACCCAATTCAGTTCATCTAACAAAGCACATTTTAATATAAGACATAATATCACAAAGGTACATTTTTAAGCACACGTATGCATCACACATGCACAATTTTATACACACGTATGCATCACACAAGACAAAATTTAAGGCAAATGACAAGACAATACATATCAGTACATCAGAAAAAAATCTCTGGGAATTGCATTAATTCCAAACAGAGAGAGACGGGTTGAGACTACATATTAGATTTTTTAAAAAAATGATGTAAAGATTACCGCCTTCAAAATAATAAGTTTAACTTCCAGGAAAAGAATTTTTATATTCAATATTGTCTGGAACTGCATACTTTATAAATAATGATACACAAATATTCAATAGAAAAAAAAAATAATTGAAACAAGTATAATTTTGCGTTTCGAGGACATTCTGAAATTTTACTAGATTGGAAATTGAAAGGGACCAAATCATCTCATTTTTTAATTTTTAACAGTCGATATTTTAGTCTACGAGTTTTATGTCTATCACAACAATTGGCGTTCATGTAGAAAATTAATCAAAGCCTGTTACCATTGTGGAATCTCATCTAAAGGGGTACCTAGCCTGGGATCCCGACTCACTGCTCGATCGACGAAGTATTAGACTGGGTCAGGATGCCAGGCTAGGGGGTACCAAACACTTTGACTAAAATAGATTTGGCTTGTTTAATTTTCATAAAATGTTGACAAAATATTTGCTTTGACCTGTTGACAAAAATATAAAAATTTCAAGAAATCTGAACCGCACAATTTACAGGAATAATTTCATTGAATATATAGCAGCTAATTTTGATCATTGAGAAGCTTGATTTCTCTTCACTAATAAAAGGTGATTAAAACGTTCAGCTGATTTTTAAAGAGTTAACTTCTTTAGGTGTTCTGTACCCATTAAGGCCCGTTGTCACAATCATAGTTTTCTTGTAAAAGTTTAATTGGTCAAAGTTTTTGATGGATCTTTTGATAGTGACAACCGCCAAAGTAAACTGATCAAAAAGTTTGACGGACTTGGATGGAATAGAATCTCATCCTACATTACTTGAAACTTGGATGGGAATTATACAATCACAGTACAGTTTTCTTTACCAAGTTTTTGATGAAAAAACTTTGATTGTGAAAACAGATGACTTGGACCAAGTTTACCAGGTCAAAGAAAACGTTGACCAAGTTAACTTTTATAGCGATAACCGGGCTTTATACCGCATACTGCTCAATTAATTGTTCCAGAAGATCATTTACATAATTGGAATACTGGTACTGTATTATATCATACAACTTCTATATATTTAAATATTCTAACACCAGTTGTTCGACCTGCTAGTCAAATGTGTTTTGTTAAAATATACTTTTTCACTCATTTGGTCTTTTGGAAAATGTTGTTTGTGCTGTATTTAGACCCCTCTACCAAGAAATTTGTTTTGCATGCACACGTATAAAAATTGCGGTTTTTATCCAACGCAATCATAGGTTTGAACGTTGTTTTCAATTTAGACTTGCATGTTTATATTTTTTCGTTTGGGCTTGTATTATATTTGCCTTCTGGTTTATATGATCCGTTCATCCTATTTTGACTCTTTCAAAATTTAAGAGTCTATCCTAAATTGAGGTAAATTATATGGCCTTCCAAATACCGTTTCGATTCCTAACATCACTGAAGAGACATTAATTGTCGAAATCCGGATATGCACCTCATGTTTGCGGTATACCATCTTTTCCGCAAGTGTATTGTTTTCTGTTTGGTAAAAAATTAATAATAAGATCTATTTTGTTACATCTTGTGATCCGTTTATTTGGCAATCGCCAATTGCAGTCAGCAGGGTTTAAGAACATCAGTTGTTCGACCTGCTAGTCAAATGTGTTTTGTTAAAATATACTTTTTCACTCATTTGGTCTTTTGGAAAATGTTGTTTGTGCTGTATTTAGACCCCTCTACCAAGAAATTTGTTTTGCATGCACACGTATAAAAATTGCGGTTTTTATCCAACGCAATCATAGGTTTGAACGTTGTTTTCAATTTAGACTTGCATGTTTATATTTTTTCGTTTGGGCTTGTATTATATTTGCCTTCTGGTTTATATGATCCGTTCATCCTATTTTGACTCTTTCAAAATTTAAGAGTCTATCCTAAATTGAGGTAAATTATATGGCCTTCCAAATACCGTTTCGATTCCTAACATCACTGAAGAGACATTAATTGTCGAAATCCGGATATGCACCTCATGTTTGCGGTATACCATCTTTTCCGCAAGTGTATTGTTTTCTGTTTGGTAAAAAATTAATAATAAGATCTATTTTGTTACATCTTGTGATCCGTTTATTTGGCAATCGCCAATTGCAGTCAGCAGGGTTTAAGAACATCAGTTGTTCGACCTGCTAGTCAAATGTGTTTTGTTAAAATATACTTTTTCACTCATTTGGTCTTTTGGAAAATGTTGTTTGTGCTGTATTTAGACCCCTCTACCAAGAAATTTGTTTTGCATGCACACGTATAAAAATTGCGGTTTTTATCCAACGCAGTCATAGGTTTGAACGTTGTTTTCAATTTAGACTTGTTTATATTTTTTCGTTTGGGCTTGTATTATATTTGCCTTCTGGTTTATATGATCCGTTCATCCTATTTTGACTCTTTCAAAATTTAAGAGTCTATCCTAAATTGAGGTAAATTATATGGCCTTCCAAATACCGTTTCGATTCCTAACATCACTGAAGAGACATTAATTGTCGAAATCCGGATATGCACCTCATGTTTGCGGTATACCATCTTTTCCGCAAGTGTATTGTTTTCTGTTTGGTAATAAATTAATAATAAGATCTATTTTGTTACATCTTGTGATCCGTTTATTTGGCAATCGCCAATGGCAGTCAGCAGGGTTTAAGAACATCAGTTGTTCGACCTGCTAGTCAAATGTGTTTTGTTAAAATATACTTTTTCACTCATTTGGTCTTTTGGAAAATGTTGTTTGTGCTGTATTTAGACCCCTCTACCAAGAAATTTGTTTTGCATGCACACGTATAAAAATTGCGGTTTTTATCCAACGCAGTCATAGGTTTGAACGTTGTTTTCAATTTAGACTTGTTTAAATATTCTAATACATACAAAATGTATATCTAAAAGAGCATCTATCGGGTAAACAAAAAGGGAACCTTTGTATTAAGAGATATATGAAGAACCAAAATTCCTCATTTTTTAAAACTACAGTTTTATATTTTTCTCTACTTGCAGGGCTCCTGATCTGTCAAGGTAAGTCATACAGTTATAGAAATGATGTATGTATGATGATATCCAAACTTTCGATTCAAGATCAAATGAACATCTACAAATTTACAGGTTATCATAAAATAAAAAAAAAAAACTGCGCAAAATGTTAAATTTTGAAGCAATTTGCTGGACAAAGGAAAATGTCTATGGCGATTTGTAAAGTTTGTTTTGTTATTGTTTTATTGTGAGAATATATTTCTTTCATTATTGAAAAAGCGCTTTACGCCTATATGGGCCAATGGCTTACAAACATACATGTATAACAAACAATACATACGTCCATTTTCGCTGCACTAGTACAGGTTTTTGTTCAGGGGCCAGCTGAAGCCCGCCTGCGGGTGCGGGATTTTCTCGCTGTGTTGAAGACCCATTGGTGGCCTTGGACTGTTTTCTGCTCTTTGGTCGGGTTTTTGTCTCTTTGACAAATTCCCCGTTTCCATTCTCAATTTTATAAAGATATAGTTGTAATAGAGAGGCGAAAAATACCAAAGTGACATTCAAACTCACAAGTTGAAAACGAACTGACAACGCTATGGCAAAAAACGTAAAAACGACCAAAAGACAAACAATAGTATACATTTTTGTACAAAACAAAACATAGAAAACTAAAAACTGAGCCACGATTTCAGGTGCTCCGGAAGGGTGAGCAGATCCTGTTCAAAGGCAATATATATGAATATATTTGTAATATACGAACGGACTACAGTATACAATGTAATATATAAAAATATGAAATTGGACCTTACTTCCATTTAAAGTATGTATATCTGTTCTTATTATTTAACAATGTTTGTATTGCATATACACTTTACTGTACTTACATTTATATTTATGTATATATGAACAAATCAATTTCATTGTTATGAATTTCTATATTCTTTTTAAGTCATTGTTGCTCAAAAGCCTTCTTCTGGATTTCAACTATCAACACCAGGGAATGGACTGTCAATGCCGACGAAAACTTCTGGTGGAATAAATAAAAAAGGGAATGGGCCGTCAATGCCACCGCAACCTTCTGGAGGGATGACTCTACCAGCAAATTGGCCGTCAATGCCATCGCAATCTTTTTGGGGTATGACTTTTCCAGGTAATGGGCCTTCAATGCCACCGAAACCGCATGGGGGGTTTACTTTACCAGGTAATGGACCTTCAAAGCCACCTCATCAATCTGGTATGACTTTTCCAGGTAACGGGCCTTCCATGCCACCGAAACCGCATGGAGGGTCTACTTTTCCAGGTAATGGACCTTCAATGCCACCTCACCAATCTGGTATGACTTTTCCGGGTAACGGGCCTTCAATGCCACCGAAACCGCATGGAGGGTTCACTTTACCAGGCAATGGACCTTCAATGCCACCTCACCAATCTGGTATGACTTTTCCAGGTAACAGGCCTTCCATGCCACCGAAACCGCATGGAGGGTTTACTTTACCAGGTAATGGACCTTCAATGCCACCTCACCAATCTGGTATGACTTTTCCAGGTAACGGGCCTTCAATGCCACGGAAACCGCATGGAGGGTTTACTTTACCAGGTAATGGACCATCAATGCCACCTCACCAATCTGGTATGACTTTTCCAGGTAACGGGCCTTCAATGCCACCGAAACCGCATGGAGGGTTTACTTTACCAGGCAATGGACCATCAATGCCACCTCAACCCTCTGGAGGGTTTACACAGTCTAAATTTGTTAAACCAGTCGGTGAGTACTTGTAGCGAATATGTTTAATCTAAAATCTGCATGTTTTGGATTGAAGCAAAAAATATTCATTATTAAGGATACAAAAACTATTAACTAAAAATTAGATTATCAATTGGAATTAAAATGAAAAAAGGGGAAAATGGTATAATCAGTCAGAGGCATAACTTAAACAAGTAATAATAAAAAGATATTACTTTTGTAAATTTCGTTTTCATATGTGTTCATTCATACAGATTCCATGAAGTATAAAAACCGAATCCTCTTGAAACAGTTATTTCCTCTAGACAACCTTTCATTAAATATTGACGATTCTTCGTCAAAGATTGGTTTTTTAGGACTATTAAAATAAAAAAAAAATCTTAGAAAACTGGAAAGTAGAAAGATATAACAAGGTGGAAACCTGTGATTAAATTGAGACTTGAAAATATTTATAATGTGTAACTCAAAATCAATTACACTTCTTCCTCATACATTGTACTTATTAAGTATTTCAGAGATGTTTAAATGTATAAAATAACTTGATTTTAATTGGTCTTAATTCTATGTAATAAAATAAATAAAAACTTTAAAATAAGCAACACGAACCCCACCAAAACAGGGAGGGGGATGCACAATGTCGAGTCATGTCTTACTCCATGGTATTTTTGCTGTCTCTTTTTATTAAATCGGTCGAAGCTTAAAAATGTTTTGCATATCTTTAACAAAAACTTACTATCAAAGATAAAATGCTATGACAACAAATTCTGCAAAAAACCTGAATGTTCTGTTATTCTGTGAATTAGTTCTTAATGAGATTATGAGGCAAAGTGGTATATAGGGTAGAAAAATCTAAACTTTGAACAGATTCGAAATCACCAATATGAGCATGCAATTTATCAATTACTTCCAACGAATTTGACGCTCCAAAAGTAATTAATTCTGCTTGTAAAGAGGTAGCTAAAAGGGTGTCATCCTGGTTTGCCCACATTTAATTGCAGGTTTATAAAACATAGGGTGTTTTGTTGTTTTAACAATTATAGTTTATTTCTGAATTATAGTCAAATTTTTACCTTTATTTTACCTGTAAAATTTTATACAAGATACTTAATTTTGCTAAAAGTTTATGTTTGTTACAGATGTCATTTTCCGAAAATTGAGTCAGTTGGGATGTTGGTGAATTCGTGATTTCCAGCGTTCTTTTAAATAATGTCTGGGCGAATCAAACATTCCACATTAGCTACGTTCCTAATATGAAACGTTATTTCTATAATTGGTTTCTTCACTGGAAAGCAAAACTTAAATTAAAAAAAAAATCTGATAACAGAAGTAAAAGTCAAATCTATCTTTCAATAAAAACAATATACATTAAAAATGAAATTTACATGATGATCAAAATAAAGAAGTAAAGTAAACTCAAGAAATCAATACAATATAATATATAAAATAAAAAATCTAAGAATTTACACTTATGTATGTACTTAGGTGAAATTAAAAAAATCTAGAATTTAAAATTGATACTTTAAGTCAGAAGAGCATTAATTAAGGAACAAAATAAGCTAAAAATATTGATAGGTTATGGAGCTCCTTTTCGAGATATTTAAAAAAAAATTTAAATGGCGGGAAAAGGCTTACTCGGACTTTTGCCTTATATTTGCATTGGTATTATTTGGGTCTCGCATCGAAAGAAAAGAAATCTAGAATCTGCTTAAATTTTGGTAAATATACTTTTATGAGGTTTTGAAGTCTTATATGAAAAGAAAAATGGGTGTTATGGAGCAAAATATTTCACCCTGTATCGTAGGAAAAAAACCAAGGAGTCCGAACATTTAACAAAAATTCCTAAACCTCACCTAAGTACATCCTTATGTATCATATTTTATAATTTTATGTTTTATCAGTACCAACCGGATCACCTGTTCCTGTGAGTTTTCCATGTCCCAAGGAATGCCAATCGTGCCAGTACTTTAAAGACAAGACAAAGGTGTGCATGGCATTTGATGACTTCGGTGATATCAAACAGAAAGTTTATGATGATATGCCTCCGAGAACCCGGGACGATTATGATTTTCTTTCCAATACTTCATGTAAGTACTTCTCTAAATCGGTAGCTACTGAAACTGATTTAATGAATATTAGTGTACTTAGAAAAAATCTTTATCATTAGTGAGGGTCGTAATGGGGGTACCTTCATGACAAATAACGGTAAAAATTCTTGCCAAATGACGTTAACGGCAATTTTTGGTACATGACGCTAAAATGTACACATTCTTTTAGACGATAAAAAAAATCGATTTTCGACTGATTTTGACGGGTCACGTTAAATTTTTTCCAAAAATAACGGTAACGATAAATGTTTGAAACCTTTGACGAATCACTATAAGGATATTTTGACGAATCGCGGTAAAATTTTAACCAATTTCACGCTAACGGTAGCCGAAAATTATTGTATGACGCCTGACGGTAAAGGGCATTCCTACCCTCATTAGTAGTGCTTGGAAACAAATATTAGATATCTGGATATATATGAAGACCAATAAACCACAATGAATCCATTTTTTGCATAAATAATTCAAAATAAGACACTTCGTCCTGGCTTGGCTGAAATTGGCTGCAAGTTTCAGACAACTGAAAATTTCAAAGCGTAAGAAATTGACCCATTTTATTTATGTCTTTCCGAATTAACATAGAAAGCTGAGATAATCAACGATCATTTTGGTACAAATAATTCTACCAAATGGAATGTTCAATTAAGTCTTTCGCTGGTTTATCTCACGTGATTCTTTTCAAAAGTGCCTCAAAAAGACGTTCGATCGGAAATAGTAGAAGTTACAAAAAAGAGCATGTGAAAAAGATCAGCGCAGGAAAAGTACTTAATTTATTTATTGTAAAAGTATAATAAGAAGAACACAAATTCTCACAAAACAATACTGAACAATTCCGTATTAAACAGATCGCTCTAATTTATTGAAAGCCAACTCCAAGCACTAAAGCTTTCGGAAAATAAAAAACAATAAAAATTAATAAACGGATTTGTTGGGTGTGTAGTAATATGTTATATAAGAATTTTACGACAATTGCCAATCGTTACGTTTACAATTTTCGAGGTAATTATACAATTTCGTTTTATAGTATGAAATGATGTTCCTTCTTAGAAATAATATTTTTTTTCATTAGTATGTTTTGCTAATGTCAAAGAAACAGCAATTCAACATTACTTTTTCTCAAAATTGAGAATAAAAAAACAGACAATCCGAATGAATAGAAAATCGTCTACACGGAATGACAAGCACTTAATCTACAATATAATAGAATGTCTTCACCAATGAACAAAACACATAATCACATGATAACAGTAGCAGATTGATTTAAAGCTTTAAAATTGATGAAAATTTTATTTTTGTTTTAAGTGTTCACAACAACTGCATATATGGCAACTTGTGATGGTCTTGAATTCTACATGAAGACTTGGGCTGCTCTAAAACAAAGAGAAAAAGATAATCTACTGGATTTTATTAGAGACCCAAGACAAGTTCAAGTTGCAGATTTACGACTTTTACCAAAGGTTCCTTTCGCCATTCTCGAGGTAACTGAAGCCTATACTGCACTGTAGTTTAACATTGAGGAATTAACTTTTATGTTTCATTAGATTGCAGACGACAGTCTCCACAAAATAATACGTTAAAGCAAAATGTGACAATTAAAATTTTGTTGATGTATAAAATGTTCCTGGCATATGATGCAAGATACATGAACAATTCATCTGAATACACTCGCATGTTTTTTTCAGAGTACCCTTATATCTCTGCCAAAAATGTCTACCTTGTAAGATGAAATTTTTCCTTTTTCAGCTCAATGTTGAGCGTAGCATGTTTAAACTAATGACTAAAGATCAACAGCTTGTAATGTGTGAGGATCTTACATATATCGACTGCTTTACCAGGGTTGCCATTGACAGAAATATAGATTGTGCCAGAATTCTGCTGGTAAGAATTTTCTCAAATACAATGAAATGTTTTTTAAGGGTTTTTAGCAACAGTATCGTATCAAATGTTTGTAATGTAATGTCAACATATAAACAGAATTTATCTAATGTCTGACATCTTATCAATGTCAGTCTGATTTGTTACATGTATGGTATCTCAAGTACCCTCAAAATCATGTTTCGTCAACCACGCCAGTTTCTTGTTAATTCACAGTATCATTGATAAAATCATGGAATTAAAGTTGCTGCTAAATACTTGTATTTGCCGAGAGGGAGAGACAATGAAGTTGAATAAACTCTTTTCAAATTCAGTACGTCCGAATCGCTTACCAGGATTTACTTTCATCAGAGCCGCTCATACATAAACATTTGCTGGTCATCAGTTTTACACGACGGACAAGCGGCTGATCATCAATAATCTTCCAATTTTCTATCCACATATACTTATTCATATACTACATGTACTATGTATGTTTTATATAGGCACCATATTTGAATACATGTACTTTGTTGATTATCTAATAATACATTAACTTTACACATATATATAAATATGGCTTTTCCGTATTTTTATTTGATTAAATACGACCCGATGTGCCATTGTAACTCTATAAATGAGAAGAAATCAAATGGTGTAACCTACTCAAAATGGTGTATTGTTCGGACAAAATACCATGCACATGTCAAATGCAACGCCATCGATACCCTTAAAGAACATTTATGCTTGGCGGAAGGCGAATCATCTTTCTGAAGATAAGGACCTGATTCTTGACCTTACATTTTTCATCGCATTTATTTATCTTACACCATGAACATCATCTTGATAGTTCCCAATCTATGAATAGTTTTTACAGCAAATAAACTTTTATACTAACCATATTTATTGTCAGGCCTCTGGAACAGCAGATGCAAAAACTATTGCATCGCTTGTTGACGTGAGGAACTGCTCGAACTGGGACAAAGAACAATGGAATTTGACCATGAAATATTCTCCTGATATTCTTGACATGGAATGTCTAAAAATAGCACCACCTGACGTCATGGTTGATAAGTGAGTATACCAATGTTTAACTTACACATTAGAAAGATTGAAAAGTTATCATTGTATAAGTAGATGTTTTGATAATTAATTATTCAACGAATTGAAATAAACACCTCGATCATTTCATGATGACTTAGGAAACATTATTGGAAAGCAAGTCTAGTGAATGAAATTTTTAATCGTCATATAATTACACTTTATTAAAGTGAATCGAGTTAAATATAAAAATATTAACTAAAATGTATATTTATATTAATTCTGATACCATGAAAAGTAAATACTTAACTAAATATTTTATTTATTTTAATAAATGTATAATGCACTGTGTATTGGCGTCGAAAAGGCTTGACTGCCGGACTGGGTAAAGACTGTTTCTTCATGTCTTGTCCTTCGAATTTTTTTTGTTTGTCATTTTTACCGCTTTTACCAGGATCTTGGCATTCCCTGTTGTCGCCATGCTATCGTTTATTTGCGCAAATAAATCTATAGATTGTATATATTAGATACGCACAAAAATATATATAAATGAGTAACCATAGTTCATTGGGTGATAATAAATGACTTTACTATAGATGTTTAACCAGGATGCAATGCATGGCGTAGTTGAAGTAATTTGCCTGTTTTTCAATCATGCTTAAATCGTGAAACTGTCAAAAAGTATTTACACCAGCTGAGTCGTTTAACGAATGGTTGACATGTTTATGTCGGTTAAATTTGTTGCTTTGGTCGATAAATATTGACGCTTTGAATTAAGACAAGTTTTCAGTTAATTGCACTTTTGATATGTCTTAAAAACTGTAGAATGTGCAAATCTTTGAGATTCAAGGGTTTGATTGTTACCTCTCATTGCCATACAAAGATGCATGCACGTTTTCCATTATAAATTCAAAATGTTATTTTTCACTATAAGTGAAGATGTCTACGCTTTTTCCTAAAAATGAAATCTTGTCTGGTTTGTTTTGATCTGATTGCCCTGATGTCATGGTTGATAAGTTAGTATACAAATATTAATAAACACATTAAATAGATTGAAAAGTCATAATTGTATAAATAGACATTATAATAATGAATTATGCAAAGAATCGAACTAAACACCTCCATTCTTTCATGATGACATTATGTGAAAGCAGGTTTAGTGAATTGAAATATTTAATCGCAATATAATTACACTTTCAATTAAATGGACTTCTTTATAAATGTATGAACTGAAGTATAAATACCTATCAATTTAGATACAAGTAGAGGTTATGGCCAAATAAATAATTCGTGCATTGGAATTAAAAAACAAATCATGCTGTACTGTTGTCAAAGAGGTTTGGCTGTGAAACAAAGGAACACATTTTATTTACTGATCATCCTATTTATTTTATTCATTTATCGATTTTATTTTTGGAAATTTTCATCGCTACTACAATGGTTATCGTATATACCGTCGTGAAAAATTATACTGTTACCCCATTGAAGTATTCTACTATATGCCCTTGAATTTTTACTAGATAACATTTTTGTTCGCTTTGAAGATTCCGTATATCGTCAGGTTATCGGAATTCCAATGGAGACTAAATGTGCACCACTTATTGCGGACCTTTTTTTGTATTGCTATGAGTTACAATTTATGACAAAAATCAGCAAAGACCCATCGAAACAACATCTGATACACAAATTTAATAATACTTTTAGATATTTGGATGATATTTTGGCTCTCAATAATGACGACTTCAGTATGTATACTAAAGAAATTTATCCTGTTGAACTTACTTTAAATAAAGCTAATACTAACAATGACCACTGCCCTTTCCTCGATCTTGATATCTATATCATTAACGGAAAGCTTAATACTAAAATATATGATAAAAGAGATGATTTTTCATTTCCTATCGTTAATTATCCATTTTTAGATGGTGACGTTCCGTTGTCACCATCTTACGGTGTTTATATATCTCAACTTGTTCGATTCGCTCGTGTATGTAACAATGTTTTAGATTTTAACGAGAGAAATTTATGTATTACTGAAAAATTATTACACCAGGGTTTTCGATATCACAAACTAGTCAAAACATTTACTAAATTTTATCATCGGTATAAGGACATCATTCGTAAATATAGCTCAACATGCAGACTTCTTATACGTTCAGGTATTTCACATCCACTTTTTTATGGAAATATTCTTTATAAAGCACAAAAATGTCAGTATTCACCTCTGAAGCTAACAAAACCTTTAAATAGACTTATTAAGAAGGGATATAGTTACGATACTGTTGTCAGGTCATTAAAGATTGCATATTTTGGCGTTAATATTGATTCACTTATAGGGTCTTTGCATCGGCACTAAACACATTTATTTAAAAACCAGTTGTTGGCATGACACGGGTTATGTTCTTCTCATATATGTTATGATGGTATGATACTAAACCCCTAACGGGAAGGATTGTGCCTGATATTCATATGATAAAGACATAATCTTTCAATCAGTTTAATTGAAGTCTGGAGCTGGCATGTCAGTTAACTGCTAGTAGTCTGTTGTTATTTATGTATTATTGTCATTTTGTTTATTTTCTTTGGTTACATCTTCTGACATCAGACTCGGACCTCTCTTGAACTGAATTTTAATGTGCGTACTGTTATGCGTTTACTTTTCTACATTGGCTAGAGGTATAGGGGGAGGGTTGAGATCTCATAAACATGTTTAACCCCGTCGCATTTTTGCGCCTGTCCCAAGTCAGGAGCCTCTAGCCTTTGTCAGTCTTGTATTATTTTTAATTTTAGTTTCTTGTGTACAATTTGGAGTTTAGTATGGCGTTCATTATCACTGAACTAGTAGATATATTTGTTTAGGGGCCAGCTGAAGGACGCCTCCGGGTGCGGGAATTTCTCGCTGCATTGAAGACCTGTTGGTGACCTTCTGCTGTTGTCTATTCTATGGTCGGGTTGTTGTCTCTTTGACACATTCCCAATTTCCATTCTCAATTTTATACTATAAAGCATTCAGCATAAGAAATTGGATACATGTTGTTCCTTTAATGTCGAAAATAATCTCTCTCGCTAATTAGTGAAGTTCTGTATGCTTTTTTTTTCTATTTTCTGTTTCTGGTGGGAATGATCTGCATAAATAGGTTCAGTTTTTTATTTAAGTTTATACCATCGACCGAGGAATACACATTTACAAACGATTTAGCAATTACTAAGGGTTAAACGCGACATCTCTTTATTTGGTAGTGCTTGAAGCATTCTGACCGAATATGATTCATCCCCGGATTTTACAATTAACATGACGGGTATCGCTACTAGAGTAGGAATGGCTTACAGCTCCGGAGAACCTACTCTACGTTTAAGGATAGTTCATATTATATTAACTTATGTTTTCTTTGTTACACATTACTATTGTTTAACTTCTTATCTGGCCTAATTTGGCTTCCTGTTTCTAATTGGTGTCTTTTTCAAAATATGGTTGGGGTTTGAATATTTAACAAACATTTTAACTGCAACTTCTAAAAATATTAAGAACCATTTAGTGAACTTATTTTGATCAAACGCGGACATTATAAATTATGAAAAATAAAAAGATAAAACGATCTGTCAGGTAAACTATTACGTTGTCCTCAGTTTTCCATTGACTTTAAGGTTTTCAAGCTTCGTTACTTTTTTATGGTGAAACGTTACTTGAGATAAAAAAAAATATCGGTTGGGCAAAAAAGTTCTTTTTATGGACCTCATGATTGTTTTTTAATCACTATCGATAGTCAACCGAGTCCATAAATTTTACTTAGAGATTTTCAATTAAATGGTATTGGTGTTGTATATGCATATAAAAATCTGTTCTGACTAAATAAGATTTTGCAAAAAGGCAAAAAGGCAGTATGGGTTTTGTTCATTGTTTAAGGCCGTACGGTTGCTAATGTCTACGTCATTTGGTCTCTGTTGGAGAGTTGTCTCATTGGCAACCATACGACATCTTCTTATATTTATATGTTTAAAAATCATCTCGATCAGTTTATAATGTTCAGCTCGGTACAATATTTGCAACTAAACATCAAATCAATTCAGGAGGTTTGTATTCATTGTAGCATCGATAGCCTAGCACAACATTGTCACAAGCTCGACAAACGTGAAATCAACATTCTCGCAAACATTACAACTTCCAAATTGTTAGATGACAAAAGAAAAGGAACTGTAGTATCTTCTGACGAAAAGGACAAATTAGCGGATCTGTTATCTTTCTGTGGAGCTGATCCGTCCATAATGGGTGACCTTATGGATAAATCTGAGGTAAGTATTTATATAATTCATCAGGCAAGAATGTCAACTATTGTACACTATTTATCATTATTTAAATATAAGAATATATGTCACTTGGACACCATAGCTCTAGACAAAACCTTAATTTCATATTTATTTTAGAAAGTTATGAACATGTGTGTAAAGTTTAAAGTTGAATTGACCCTAATTCGTGGTAAATTAAAACCAAAAACGTTAGAATGAAAATGGACTGACTTGGCACGATCAAGTTTCCAGGTTAAAAAAACAGCGACATCTGGCTGGTCAAATCCCCACTTTGGCTTGTATCAACTTGTATTTTCAAGTTCATGTTACCATTATTTCATCATTGCCTTTCATTGCCATAAATCGAAAACAATATGCCTCTACTGTGGTAAGTGTTAATCAAAGTATGTCAAACGGTGGCTTCACCTTGCAATTTTGATATGATTGATATGATTTTTATTACACAATTATAATACAAGAAAAAAAGAATAGAAGAACGGCCACAGCAAAAAATATTTTTGAAAAAAATAAATCAGCAACAAATGAATTCATTCAGGTTCTAGGTGTCAAATGATTACAGTTTTTTTTCTCAAGATGTGACAATTTTTCAAAATTGTAATCAACAGCGATGTAAAGCCAAAATACCATTTTAATTTTGTGAATATCGTATGAAAAATATTTAGCTCACTATACTTGAGTGCTTATGTATAAAATTTTGCCGTCCTAACCTCACTAAAAAAATTGGGCTGTACTGCGGATTAAATATCTTAAAGCAACATAAGGAACAGCGGAAGATATAATCTTGTACAACGACCAAAGAAATTCTGAAAAAGAAAATAGAGTAAAACGTAGTTGTTTTTCTTTAAAAGAGAGGCGAGACATACCAAAGGAATGTCTATAGACTATAAACAAATTAATTGATATACATCTTAAACAAAGATCAAATAACTACATGATTTGTAACAATAAGACAGTAACGTCACAAAGAAAGCTTGTGAAGAAAATTCCTAAACCTCATAGCTTTTTTGATAAAATGCACCTAAAAAGAATCACTGTTTTTAGAAACCATCAAACGTGTTCCAACTTACGACATTTCTTTAAAAGTTTTTGTAGCAAGTTCCCTATAGCAAGTGTTCAATTCACCGGTTTCATTGATTAGTATGAGCAATATTTTCCTTATTATGTCAATCAATTTGGACTTGTGTATTTCAAATTTTACTAATAGTTTGTTATTTCTCCCTTATTGATCAGAATAGCCAATGAATCGTATAAAAATTTACATCTTTGTTACACGAATTTCTAATTCACAAATATCTATAACAATTTATGAAGTTTTTGTTTTGATTTCTGTAGATGTTGTCAAAAGTTGACTACAGCAAAACTGATACAAAAGAAGGCATAAAATTCATGAAAGAAGTTTTAGAGACTGTTGATCCGAAAGACTTAACAAAAGACCAGATTGTCAAGTAAATCTCTTTTAATATGTTTTTTAGTTATCTCTAAGGATTTCTAATTACAAAACAAAAACGGCTTCAAGTTTAATAATAACTCAAAACCAAATTAGTGAAAGCATAAGGCTAGCTAAGCTCTTTTAAAAAAAAGTCGAACAATACAGATACAACTAGAAAAAAGGAATTGTAAAAGGCCTAAGGTTGACTAGTTTGTTGTTGACTATACACGGGGAGAGTCGTATCTAGTAAGTTAGGAACATATGCTGGATTTTGTTCAAAAACTAAAAAGGAAACAACAACATTAATGCTAATACTAGGTTATTGCCTGAGAATCGATTTTTTATCCAGAAATTTTAAGCGAATTTTTCTTTGAAACTAACTTGAAATTCTATTGCAGATTTATATTTGAACACAAGTTACTTCAAGTTTCAAACAGAAATTGCATTAAATAGTCTTACTAGAATCAAGTTTCCTACTATAATTCAAAAATACCTTTGATGTCCATTTATATATAAAATTCCTTCTGTTTCTTGACAGCTCTTTTAAGATGATGGTTTACAACAGAAGTTTACTGGCAGAGCTTGACACTACCGAACTTGAAACCGCTGTTTGTGAGATATGTGATAAAGCTGATGACTTTGACAAAGCTGATGTATGTATTAACAATTTTTTTCTTGATATGCAGCTAAGCGTGATAATCTTCATAATAGGAATACATACACTGTTTTACCTTAAGTTGTGGATTTTCCAACATAGTAAAATATTTTAATTTGAATTTCTGTAAAACAATTAAACAATGACGTTTTTACAACACCAGTTTCATCTTTGACTTTTATTTTCAGCTTGCAAAACTAGCAGATGTTGTTTTAAAACGGGTACCAAGCTTAGCTGACCCTTCAACATACGACGACGCTACCATCGATTGTATTGGACCTTTGATTCAATTTTTACCCATGCAGTCATTTGATAATATTCCTTCTGCTGCCATGGAATCTGCAATCTCAGGTGGTAAAATGAAGAACGTTACGGTTACTTCAAAGTCAATGGTGAGTAACAGATTTAATATTGTATGGTGTGTTTCGAGATGCACCCTCGTAAAATTACAAATATAATCATAACCAAAATAATTGTTGCATTTGCAATCTACAAGATATGTTTGAAAGTTTATAGAAAAGACCACAGTGGCAAACTATGCTGTTACTGTCATTCAAATATTGAAAAATATCAGATTTTAACATTTGTATAGTCACGTTAATCTTTCTACCTTTTGTATATATAAAATATATGGTAAATGTCAGAGAAATATAAACTTTTTTGTATGAGGCTGAGAAACTGGGAATGGGCAAGATTGTACCGAGCCCTTCCCCAGTTTTGTGTCGAATACAAAAAAGTTTATATTTTTCTGACATTGACCTAATATTGTTTTTATACTGCAACTTAAATTCATACTTTAATATAGCTATTTAAATTGTAATACAAATTTCAAACATATTTTCATCCCTAAATGAACCCTTGTTTGTGGAAAAAGTGATCGATGATGAAATTAATTGACATTGCACAAAATATAGCTTTGTTACGATATTAAGGAAATAAACACAACTAGTTGCAGTATATAAAGTTTTATGATATTCAATGGTTTGGATTATTCAAGTATCGGATGGGACCAAAAGGAAGGATTTATGAGATTTGACCATCGGTAGACTGCTGTTGCCTTTGATTTATGGACGATATCTTAATTTCGTTGATCGTTATGGAATATCTATGTTAGAGAACATGCCTCAATTAATTGTGGAGGTCATAATCATGACCTATATTTCCACAATGGTGACATCTTCGAACGCGACTTAAAAACAAATTTCTGCTTACCTTGATAAACACGACGGGTGTCATAAGTGTAGCAGGATCTTACTTAGACTTACATGTATGAGTATTGCTGTCCTCTTGGAATCTTCTGTCTCTTTTTACTTTGTTAGTATATTTAGAAATATTAGGTAGAGTTCAATTGCTGTGAGGAAATTTAAAGAAGATGAAACCCGAGATATCATACATCATTCTTTTTTAACAAATAAGGCATCGAATTGTGTTCATTTATTATTTGTTTCATAACTGGGCGTCAATGATTTTTATCTTTTAATTTTTTTCACGTAAAATATGTGTTACAAAGAATTTTTGATTAAAAAAGAAAGGCGGAAGATATTAAAAAAGGGACTTTCAAAACTCCTTAGTCGAAATAGAACGACAATGTCATTGCAAAAAACGAAGGATGACGAAAATACAAATAATTTCACAAAACAAAAGACTAAACGACACAAACCCTACAAAAAAGGGGGAAGATCTCAGATGTTCCAGAAAGATTAGAAGATTCTGCTCCACTAGTGACATCCATGATAAGTTATGAAAAGTTTTTAATGTATTGTCATGAATGCACACAAATGAATGTCCATGTTATATTTTAGGGTAAAAAATTGCTGGAATCTGCAAAGACGGCTTTAGGAAAAACTAATGTAAGTAAACTCGTGTATTATAAATCAACATTATTCGGTTCATTTTCAAACTACAGTAAATTGAATTTTCGATGATATAATTTGGAGGTCAAATATTCCAATTTGTGGTGCATGTACTCGTGCATATATATAGTAATCATATGTTGTATTTCTAAGGGTGATTTTACTAGTTCTGACCTTGAGAAGCTTGGAACAAGTGTCGTTGCCATGGTTGCCACTGATTTAAAGAAGATACCTGATGCCTCATTTTCCGATAGTATCATCGAAATGTTTGCAGACAACATTATGAAAAGCGACGTGAGTCCACCGAAATCTATGATTGCAACTCTGATGGAAAAAGTAAGTTTTTTTAATGTTTTCTCTTAAACATTTCAAGGGAGAAATATTATTAATTAGCTAAAACGATATCATAGAAATAAGAAGATGTGGTATGAGTGCCAATGAGACAACTCTCCATCCAAGTCACAATGTGTAAAAAAACGGTCATTTTAAAAGACTGAACAATGAAGTAATGCTCAGTTTTTCAGTCAATTTTAAGCACGATTCAGACAATGTGATTGCAGTCAATAAAGATCAGATCAATCTATGTTCGGACTGTTCAGTAGTTGTTTTAGGTCTCTTGAATATATGTTCGGACTGTTCAGCTGTACACATCAACACTGTACTGAATTAACTGAAAAGCTACAAAACTGTACTGAAATAACTGAAAAGCTACAAAACAGTACTGAATTAACTGCAAGCGAAATGAAAATTGACTGTTAAGAATGAACATGCCTGGATAATTTATTGTTTAGACTTTTCAGCTGATGTTAAGATGAAAATGAGCGGTAAATACGATAAATCATGTACTAGTGTTGTATCTTCAGATGTTAAACATGTACCTTTACTTATTTTTCTTTTATTTTATAAGAAATTTAGAATGACAAGTTAATCACTGTGCTCTCTTACCCGTCTGACATCTAATGTATTCATGGTTCTCACTTATCTGCATATTTTGTTACTTTGGAAAGGTTTTTGTCGATACAGTTTTTTTTTCGAAAGGTTTTTGGCTGTGTCCTTTGTAAAGTTTTCTTTGCCACCACAGTAGGGTTTATGTGTGACAATATGACAAAATAAACGATGCTTATTTATGAAAGATTTCTATTGCTTTTGTACTTTCATAATTTGTAGGCTGCTGCAAGTGCAACAGGTGTCAAAGTTGCAATTGAAAGTGGGCTTGGCGATGATGTTCCAACTGAACTTCTTAAGAACGCAGATCTCTCAGATCTACCTGATATTACCGGGGAGTCGTCTGAAGTTACCATTGAAGTGGATACAAAACGGGTTTGTAAACTCTTTATTTCAGAAACTAATATTCATAAGACTTTTGTTTTCAAAAGCAACACATTTTGATGCCCCTCGATTTTGTTTTTTTTTAATATGCTTAATAGCTTAGTAAGGCTAGCTTTACTTTCTGTTGAACTCTCTTGACTGTAGGCCATGTAGCTAATTGACTTAAGAAGTTTGCTGTGCAGTACTTTTTGCATTAACAAAGTTAAGAAATACACATCAGCAAATGTAAAAATTGCACTGCAGTCGCTCTTTTTTTTCCTTAAACGATTTAAGAAAATATATGCAAGAGTTAAAAAGAAAATAGAGTGACAATTATATTTTTTTGTTATTGCTGAAGTTGGGGTGATGACAGATTTTTTTTAGCATGTTGTTTGTTTGAATATATGTATATGTTTTCTGCCTAAATCTGGGTAGGGTTAGTCTTTGTCACAAATCTCGTCCTTGCTCTTTGCTAAAATAATATAATATATTTCGGGAAACAGGTTCTATAATATGGATTATCAAAACATTAATGTTTACCCCCACCTTCCATAAGTTAGAAATTTGAAACTATTTCAGTATCATATGTCATATTTTGATGGCATTGTTAATATTCTGAAGCAATGCTGTTACACTATTTATTATATATGTTTATTAAGGCTAAAATCTTAGTGAAAAAGGTGAAAGATTCAATCGGCGACCTTGGGGGAGCTGACACAAACTTCACACTACAACGTCTGGCTAACATGGAGAAGATTGCATGTGGCCTAACTGTAGCCGATATCAAAAATATTTCAAGAGACAGTGAATGTGTGGACAAAATGAACGCTATTACGAAATCGCAGTGTATTGAAAAAGAACAGGTAAATATTTCAGAGTAACGCTGAAATAAGTTCACATGAACACTTGAATTGTTACAGCTTCAATATCAAAGCGTTCAGTAATGATGTGGTTTTTAATATTAACATACTGAACAAAAAGGTTATTTATGCTTTGTTTTTTATTCTACAATAATATTGATCATATTATTTTTTATTTATCAACTATGTTAAACTCATATTAATACACATAGTTTTCATCATATCCTCCAGCTAAGCACGCATGAATGATAATTGTTCAATGCTGCTGCCATCTTGAAAACAAGGAAACGATAGGTATTTCAACTTATAAATCTTTTATCATTTTCTTTGTCTTTAATAACAATTATGTAATATCTGTGTCATGAATAAATATGTCAAAGTAGATACAAATAAATGGTTAAATATTACGTTATAAAAGCTAACTCCGACATAACCAAAATGTCCTATAAAATTGACATCAGTTTTCATTGACGACATGTATGCTATGTTTTGATGCATGTATTTTTCGGACAGACAGCATTTTTATACACTTATATCAACTGTACTCCTCTTCTTGCCTATTTGTTCCTTTATTGTTATAACGCATATTTTATTCTATTAAGTTCTTCAACTTAATATTTGAACGTTAAGTGAATATGCTGTATCTATCATATCAAAATTGAAATACTTGACAAGGGATGAGACATTAGGCTGAATTCTTTTTGTATTTTACTAACCCTTTTTGGATCTGTAGGGGACAGTAGCGAACAGTATAACGAATTTATCGCACACGGGACTTTTCCTGTCAAGTTTTGTACAAACAAAAACAAAAACAGTTGACATGACGTGACGTGACTTTACGTCATGATACCCATATGAAAACTACTGACCCCTACAAATCCATAAGGGTCACTACGTGACGGTGTAAAACCAATCACATCGTCACTAATCTTCCCGAGGGGCTATAATTATAAATAAAGGGCTGCTTTTTCCTTGATTTGCACATAAAGACCGACTGTTAGGATACGGTTGGAACTTATTTTTAATACATAATAGACTGACTTCCATGTGTTTAATGAAGACATATCGCTCCGTCAATCTTAACTTAAGAGTGGAAATTTTTGTTCGCTTGTGTTTGTGTTTTCGTTCATTTTCTTTCAATAATATTCCTATTATTTTTCGAGTTTTTCATGGCATTTTGTATCATTTAATATGGTTTTGTAATGATAAAGTAGTTTGTACTAATATATTCGTTTTTCCCAGTAATCAAAGCTGGTAATGGCTTATAATAGATTAATTCAAAATATATAAAAGAAAGTGGGACACTTCAGGAAATTTGTCTGCTATAACGATCGATTCGGTTCTACTGGAGATCGTAAAACTTTTTAAGTGCTGATAAATGACTGTATATTAGCTAAATATTTCTGTTTATGTGACACTATGTTTGATAATGATTGGGATCAAGTTAAACCAGGTGTGATATGCATGCACAATATGCAGGTATTGCATAATATATTGCTGATCTAAAAATGTGTAATTGTATTCATTTTATTATCGACAGTGCATTTCATTGACTTGGTTGCTGTAAGACTACAATGTATATCCATGGTACATTTATGTACATCTTCATTTTTTCCAAAAGTTCGTTAACTATCCTGATATTGGTGATACTCTATCTGCAGATTATAAAGCTTACAATCCTACAACATACCTCATAAAAAAGTATTTCTCTTATAATTGAGGCCTTTTACATATTTCCCGCATAAAGAGATAATTCCAGGATCACATTGGACGGAGTGTGAATAAGTTAAAATATAAATGCGTTACTTTGGTTAGAGTGGCAAAAAGGCCACACGAATAAAACAAATTACAGGAAGGTTTAACAATCCTTGATAATTGGATATCGCTAAACGAGTGAGAATTGAATATCGTTTGATATCAGCTCTTCTTATTTGATGTCAACAATAATAATACACTCGACAAAGGCTCGTTTATTATGATATTGAAATTAGATAACACGAATTTATATCAAGCGATATCCTATTCTTTCTCGTTGTGAAACATAAAATTTAAAAAAAAAAGAAACCCTTACTATTTATTTCAATATGTTATACTAGGTCGATGCTGCTGTCAAAGCGTTTAAAGAAGCAACTAACTTCGATTCTTCGTCAACAGCAGAAGTAGAATCAAACACAGACAGTGCAACATTGAGTCAGTCTGCTCCAAACCTGCTGGCACAGTTCAGGTAAGCTGCATACAGCATTAAAATACAAAATACACAGTGACTGATAACGTGGTCAAGAATCATTTTTACATGAAATTGAGTAAAGTGAAAACAATTACTGCAAAAAACATGTTAGTTATATATAGAGAAATACTTTATGTGCCTGAACGACTATGAAAAAGTTTTAAAAGCCATATAATGTAGATCTTTTACTCATACTTTCATGTACTTGAAAAAGATGCTACAAACACTACCAGTCTTTTCTGAATTATCAAAACAGATCGGTTTGTCTTTCAACATTATTACACGATCTGTGTTTTAGTTGAAGTATTTATTATTTCATGCTTAAATATCTCTATTGAAACGTAAAGTACAGGCAACAGTTGTTTTCGATGTTCAACTCTCATAAATCCATTTAGAATATAGAAATCTTAGGCGAAATACATTCCTGTATGACATCAGAAAACACAGAAATAAAGACAGAGACAATTCACAAATCCTATATACAAAATTTCAATCCTGGTATCTATATGATGAGTTTATTTAGCACCTAAAATAAGGATATGTCAACGTTAATGAGACAACACGTGTTTTTGAAACATTTTTAATACCAGTCAATAACTACTTTACAAAGAACACAAATTGCCTTTGTTGTGTTTCGTGTAGGTAATTTTTTTTTGCCATGTTTTGCCATGTACAAACAATCATCTAAACCAAACATAATCTCTTGATCGTAAATATTGCCGTGTCTTAAAAATTGGGATGGAGAACGTTCCTATAACCTTTCTAAAGTCATGTTAAATAGTTTTATGTGTAAAGGTTAATGAAAATAAATGTTGTGCTTACGAAGTGATTAATGGGATTTAACATTAACAGGAACGCTCACACCAAAAACTTTCATTTTTTGTCTTAACTAAACGTTTTACAACCAAAAAGAAGAATAGCCAAATTCATTTCAGGTCAATTTTGCATCAATGAGCTGAAAATGTGTTGCTTAATTATTTCTGAATTTATCAAACTTTAATTTAAGAAAAGTATGTTGAAAATCATGTCAGTATCGAAGCACTGACCGATGAGCAAATAATACTCGCAGAGAAAAGTAGTCCAGCAGTATCGACCCGCTGCTGGCAATATCTTCTTAGCAATTGTTAAACAATTAAGAAGGATTTCCAATGTCATCTTTTTTTTACTGAAATTAATTTTGTATCGAAGACTTATAAACGAATGAAAATATTAGGTCTACTTTACATTATATTGCTTTATTAGAATACCGGCTTTAAATATAAAAAAAACCCAAAAACTTGATTGACTGTTTGAAAATAGAGTTAGGCATTGGAGGTACATTTACCAGGAGCAGGATAACAAATACTAGTGATTTACGAGTATGCGTTTTTCTTTCGTTTCCTTCTGAAAATGACGAAAGTCATGACCTTTCATCCATTTATTGGATACAAAAATTGAACATGTTTTTTCTTTGATACAAATATTGCGTATCACTACTTCACAAAATGTTACACATGAGTTCTGTAAACCCTCTTCACATTACTCAGGGCATGAAATTGCATGTAAAAATAAGAAAATAGGATGTTTAATACAAATTCTCTCGTTGTAAAATACATTCTTACGACAAACTCTTAACACTAATGCTTTCGAAAAAGCAAAACTTTGCCAAAGTTTCACATGGTATCAGTTGCCAAGGAAGAATAGAGCGCATGCAGCAACGCTTGCGTCACTTTTTTTCTTGAAGGATCGATTTTCATTTAACATTGTAGAAAACATATGATTTAAAAATAATTGCAATTAACTTTCAATGCATTTGTAGCTATAATGAAATGAAAAAATTTGGAACAAGCAATAAGGATGCCATTGTCAGTACCATCTCTCAAGCTGATACTGAAGTTCTATCAAAGACACAAATGAAGGACGGATTCAAGTTTGTTATGGACTCAGTTGTAAGCTACATATCTTTTTCTCTTCGCTTCAAATGCTTATGTTTATCTTCTGTCAGTAATTCATATTGCAACTGATAGTATGATAAGAACGGATAGTATCCCGGATGAACACATAACACGTGTTTCTGAAATCAGCGAAAGCATCTTGATTTTTAAAGTAAAGAGCATTCTCTTAAAGTCTGTGTAAAATCCTTTAAGCTATTTTCCCCCTTTTTTCTATGTTATGTAGTGCTGCATCCCGTATTTGTTCCTGAATTACAATATTTTGGATAAAACATTTCTTTTTTTAAACATGTTGTACAGCTAGTCTTTTGTAATAAAGATGTTAAGAAAAATTTATAAATTAAACAAATAATTGCCTGCTGGTCTCGCACATAGGAGAATTTATTGCAAAAAGATACATTAAACATAGAAGTACGTGTATCATTTACATAATTCAGGGAAAGACAACTTCTGGTGAAATTACGAAAGACGATCTAGATACTGCTGGTAATATGGTTTGTGGTATTGATAGCACAGTACTCGATAGACTTGACGCCGACGCTTTGGAAGAATATGCAACCACCATTGAAAAATGTTCACTTGGTTCAGTAGAAAGAAAGGCTTTAGGATCGGCTGTCCTGAAAAAACTTGATTTGTAAGATTCTCTCTCTTTTTTACCGTTATTTTTGTATCCTCTCTTCTATAGATATTCTGAACTAAGCTGTATTTTTTTTCTTCAAAAGACAAAATGTAATTTTCAGTTTTCAAATTTTTAATTCTTTTCTATTGTTAGTAATTTTGTTGTTTTTATTAAATTGATTTGTGTAAAACAAATATATTTATCTGAAAAACTTCTGAAAACAAATTAAACTTTTTGACTTGCTTTCAACTGAATATTCACAAAAAAGAATCATGATTTTCACCGTCTCATAAGACTAGCAACTTTTGATTGAAGATTTACAGCAAAGTTTGCGGGATTTGTTTTAGGAGCGACGGATCCAAAGTGGATGCAACCAGTATTATGACTCTTGGAACATCTGTTGCAGAAATGTCTGATACACAACTTGATGCTATTGACAAGGTAAATAAAAAAGAACAATCCTTGATAAAAATTAGTGCTTGAGACTTAAGAACATTGAGTGCATCAGAACTTGTCTGTATTTACTAGAAATAAACAGTTTATTATATCCATAAGAAGTATTATTGATAACCATTTGCATTTTAACTGTAACTTTGGTTAAAAAAAATTCTTGGAAATTTGGAGAATTGTTGATTTGTCATAATTACCAGGAACAGAGATAAAACTTAGTTCATGGCATAAATGTTACTCATACCTACATGCTTTATTGTTTATATGGCATTAAAAATTTGAATTTGTATTTATAAATGTAATCACGTGACCGTAACGTTTATGAACATTAAATAGATTTTAGAAGTGTTATGTAAAACGGAAAGGCGGTTTACATCTGATTGAAGTTTCAGATTTGGCTTCCATTCATTCAAGATCACTTTTTTTTATTTCCATTTTTGTAAGTCGTTAGTATTAGTTAGTTTTTTTATCTTCTTTATCCAGTTCATGATCTTACAATATACACTCGTAACATCGTCCGAAATTTGTATACCTTATGTTTTGAATGGTTCAGGATTGATTGCTACGAACGCTTCTTTAAGTGCAAAAATCTTTTTATTCTGATAAGTTATCGAAAATTTTGCAGTTTGATTTAAATTAAATCTATCACTTGCTTTTTTTTTCTGATATGTAGTACGTGTCTGGTTTTAGAAAGAAATTCGATTGAGGGTCACTAGCGGGCGACCTATGGTCGAAACGTGGGCATCTCAAATTCGTCCTTCAACGCATATCAATATTAATAAACAAGACCAAGTAAGATGTTTTATCTTTGATTAGATTGAACATTATGAGAACTTATATCACAAAAGTCGATATGTTCTTGTGTCTATAAAACAATGCCCTTTTGGTTATATAATTTGATTAAAACTATAGATCCTTCATTTGTACACTGATATGTGTATTGATACTCGATTACTTTTTACTTCAAAGATACTTCAACTGTTTGTTTTTTTCAGTCAGTTCTTTGTGATATGAGTGATAAAGTTGTAAAGTCATTTAAAGATAAGGAAGAAAAGGAGAAAAAAAGGAAAATCAAAGGTTTCAAAATGGACACAACATCATCAGACGATAGCACATTCAAGACAAATAAAAAGCGAGTAATGAGAAAACTTTTGGCTGCACAAGATGCATGCACTTCTTCCTCAAGCGGAAGTGCTGGACGAAGAAAAAGGTCTACATGTAAGTCACTTTAAAATTAAAATCAATTAAAATGTGCTTCACATACCAATAAGTCGGAAACAAAATAGCCAAAAAAACCTGATTAGATATCTGGAGGTGAATGTTTGAACTATTGACAATTTTTTAGTGGTACATGTAAACATGTAGAAATATGAATAGAAATATCAACGACTTTTTGCACAGCTTTCCTTTAGTAATCGTACATAAAGAGCTTCAAAAACCAAAAAAGCATTTCAACTAGGGTACATTTCAGTCAAAACTTATATGTCGGATTGTAAAAATGACGTTGACAATCTTCGCAATGTGAACAGTGTAAAGTGTACCAACATTGTAGTATTCATTGTTCTACAGCTTCAATTTTCTGCTTTTTGTTTGCCAGCATCACTGACCTGTTCTTACATGACAACCATTGGAACATCCGGGTTATCTGCAATCACCGTTGATCAGATTAACAACTTAGATGATACAGAATTTACAGACTGTGTTGATATATTGGGAGCAGTAACAGACTACAGTACTGACCAGATAGACGCTCTAGTTAATGTTGGAAAACGTAACACTGTAAGCTTTTAATTATAAGGTTATATACATTTTTGGGAATTCATTGATGTGTCAACTGGACAACAAACTACAAAAATACGTTTTCACATGGCCAAACTCCTACAAAATGTGTTTAATCTTATATTAAAGATATTGTTATTCAGCCATATTTACTCTGACTATGTTTTTTTCTGTTACATCAAATTTAAATTTCAACAGACATAATAAGGTCCGTTGTATTTTTTTTTATAATATGCTGTCTTTCCTTCTCTGGCTTATGATTTGGAAAATTACATTGGCATCTTCCTATTTATATTTTTTACTAAATCTATAGTATTTTTGCAAACAACTTTAGAAGCTTTGCCTCCATTGGCATTTGAATGGATATGTTAAACACTTCCTTTCGTGTGTTGAAAATTTTATGGATCAGAAAGAAATTTAGATTTAACTTTACATATAAACTCAGAAGCAAACACATTCTTTGTATATGTTACAAACGAACTTGTTTTGGTTTTCGACCTCTTGAATGTTACAGTAATCTGGCTATTACATAGCTACACAGAATAACATTTTGTTCCCTAGGAAAATAGTTTCTTCTTGACCTGACTGTTTAGTTTCAAAACGTATTCCAAGAATATGCATGTCATATAAAAAATAAGAAGATGTGGTATAATTGCCAACGAGACAAACCCATACCGCATAGTCAGCCATAAAAGGCCCCGAAATGACAAATGTAAAACAATAGTTGACAAGTCTGTGTATTTCGTTTGCATCGGATTTTATTGATCATTAGGATTTTAGCTTCAAAAATAAATAAATTATGTTTTTTTTTTCAACAAGAAATACGTTACTGTTTCGTCAACGTTATTTTTTCAACATCCGATGATTATTTTAAGCGTTACATGTAAATCTATAGGATCTTTGAATGTAAAAAGTATGATCTTTTATCTCTTTGTACCAGATTTGTTTTATAAATAATTACATGATAAAGTGTCCTCCAAGATAAAATAAATTCTTATGTATATAACCTAGCAGCATACCATGTATACATTTATTTACCCTAGGTTTGGGGAGATCCAACAACATGGACCGCAACGACTGTTTATAGTGCAGGCGTTATCGTACAAGGATTAACAGTTTCTGAAATTGGCACCTTGACACTTGATTTGGATGCCATCAGTAAACTTGGAGAATATGATGGTTGGACAGATGCTCAGGTAAAAAAATAATTTTGTTTTTTAACTTTTTAACTTGGAAATCTGAAATTTTAGAACACCGAACAAAAGCTTCTAGAATACTCTTCACCACCTGTGCAAATCTAGCCATTTATGATAAATTAATTTTTTTTACAGAAAAACGCACTATTTGAAAGATGGTTGACTTTGGAAAAATCTGATGATGCTAGCACAATTTCATCGAGTGAATTGCGATCACTCGGTCATATGACCTGCGGAGCAGAGACTAACCACATCAATGTCATAAGCCATAGTGTTTATTCGTAAGTATCGTTGACTAGACGCGTAGTGGTAAGACTCGAGTTGATACAGATATATCATGTCATACACCTGCAAATAATAATCGTTAAAAAAAAATTGTATTTCGCCTCCAGAACAAATCATGTTTCTAAAACGAGCATACAAGTCTGAGATTATTAATGTTGTCTGCTTTATTTGTTAGTTATTTATGTAACAAAGAAATAATAAAAATAAGTTACTTTTCAGATGAATGAAACATTTCATATACTCCTTAAGAAATGAAAACAACACGTTATAAATTTAAGGCGTCCGTTTAGCTATGTTAAATCCTAAATGTTATTCAAATGGATAGTTCATTAATAATAGAACTGTTTTTGTGATTTTATTCCCCTTTTCAAAGTCATGTTGAATTATTTGAAATAGTTTTAGTGTTATCATTCTCCTTAGTGAATAAAATTAAAACGAACGTAAAATAATGTTTTCGAATGTTGGTCAAACGACTTTCAAAATATTGGAATAACAGTATGAATTGCACTTTGACTGACGATTGATTGGCAAATATACTCTATGTTACTTCAAATACGCGAGATTGTGCAAACGACCAATTTCCATAACATTAGGGGTGAAATGTCTAATTCTTTTAGTACTAAATGTTTAGGGGCAAAAACAATAAAATGCATAAGACTTATTCTCAAATGGGGAGTAACTCTTTCAAACATTTTAATGGAACAAAACTTACAACGGCGTCAACTTTATCGTCACGAAAATACCCTCGGGGAAGACGGGTGAACTCCTTCAGGAACATATCAATCTGATGTCATGTCAAGCTCATTGTTTTGTTTTTTGATAATTCTATTAATTTAATTTTTTTCTTTTCTTTCATTTCAGTTTAATTTTAAAAAGCAGTTGTGATAACATGGCGTCCGTCGTTATCTGCCCGGAAAATAGTATAAGTCGAACACAATACATTTTCTTGTTAAATCTGCTCATATATATATATATTAGCTTTACTTTAAAAAAAAAGTAATGAACCGAAATATTTGTAATATACAGATTGTTATATTATGTGCATGCCTGTTTCATTTGTATGTTTATACAGATCGGCTGCTGACGCTGTCGGTGAGGTTACCAGTTGTTCAGATGGTCAGCTATCTTCCTTCCTTACATTGGCTAAGTCTGCATATGGAAGCGATATCACAACCTGGGATTCAACAACAATATCAAATATTGGCATTGTCATAGGTCAGTAAAACGAATAAAGTAGTTCGAAATGAAAAACAGAAAGAAAATCCTGGTAAAAGTACATTTTCTGCTGACCTGGCCAAAAAGGCTAAATGAGTTTTTCTCGTCACTTGGCGTCCGTCATCCGTCGTCGTCGTCGTCTGTCGTCGTTAATTTTTACAAAAAACTTCTCTTAAACTACCTGGCCAAATTTAACCAAACATGGACACAATCATTATTAGGGTATCTAGTTTTAAAATGTGTCCGATGACCCCGCGTGCCCACCAACATGGCCGACATGGCTAAAAATAGAACATAGGGGTAACATGCAAGTTTGGTCTATTATCTTGAAAACCGCTATGAATGGAGAAAATCTTGCTCAAAATAATGAGATCTACATATTGTCTGTTTGCTTCAAAACTGTCAGATTACTTCTTATAGGAGTTATTGCACTTAAATGACGAATTTTACCGATTTTTTTCGTGTTTGCCTCATATCTGAAAAGTTTTATTAGATAGAGAGAAACTTCATGTACCAAAATTATCAACAAGGCAAGATCTACAAATAAGGTCAATGGTCGAAATCGTCAGATGACTCTTTATTGGAGTTATTACCCTTTGATAATGATTTTTACCATTTGTTTTTGCAATTATGCCTAATATCTGAAAATCTATAATAAATAGATTGAAACTTAAATAAGCAAAAATGATCAGCAAGACTAGACCTACAAGTAAGTCAAATAGCCTGAATCATCAGTCGACTACTTGTAGGAGAACTTGCTCTTTAAATACGATTTCAACCAATATTTTTAAGTTTTTGCCTACTACCTTAAAAACTATAAAAGATACAAAGACACTTTAAATAGCAGAAATGATCAGCAAGACAAGATCTACAAATAAGTAACATTTTGCTTAAGTTGTTGGTTTATTCTTAATAGGAGTGATTGCCTTAATTGATATTTTTCCCGTTTTTTATGTTTTGGGCAAACCGAAAGAAAATAGAGAGAAACTGTAAACAGAAAAAATTGTCAGCAATACAAGATCAACCAAAAAAAATATTTTTGTCATGAATTCTATTCTAGTCCGCAATGTTGGGGAGAGTCCATTGTTGAAGATGCTCATAGACATAGGTGAGCGATACATGCTCTTTAGAGCCTCTAGTTTTCAATATGGAGAACAGATGATACATGCATATCTGGAGATGCACTGCATGTCGACGCACCTGGTCTACCTTGACTTCAAGTAATCAATAATATTAAATGTATCAAAATCAGAAAAAAAATATGCCTTTGATATGCTTTATTCCATACACAACAATGAGTTGATTTATATTTATATGTTTTCAGGTGGTTTAACAAGCTCTGACATATCAACACTGTCCGAAAGCCAAATTGATGCTATTGACTCGAATCACGTATCATACATTCCATCTTCAACATTTGCTGTAAGTAGTTCTAAAGAAAACAAAAAAGGACGATTGTGTTGATGGTGTTTGCTTAACGTTCAGTGAAAAATATCTATATTCATGACTACGACAGAAACTGATGAAGAAAACAATCTAAAATGGAAAAATGCTTATTTACTTGTCAGGTAGTGTGTAGGAAATTAAATGTTATGCTATTGGGATTTCCTATCATAATTTGTATAAAATGTTTTTACCGAGAACTAAAATTTATTTGGAAATGAACTAAACAAAGAAAAATATGACTACTAGAATTTGATTCATGTATTTGAACACCATAGAAATTTTCACTAGTTGTGCATATGTTTTATTTTCAGTAGAGTATAAAATTTGAAACATAAAAAAAAATATTATAATTAACTATGTCATATTAACATGTACCCTCTTCCTATCTATGTTTTGAAATGTGTAAATAATGGCCAGTTATTTACATCGAAATCATATATCATGTTTATTTTTACTGCAGGGACTTACAACAACTCAAATCAACACCCTTAGTGTAAGCCAAGCTCAGTCGACTACAACTGGCCAAAGAAGTGCTTTGGATTCATCTCAGCTTGCTGCTTTGTCCAGTGTAGCTAATACTACCTTCTCAGGATGTAAGTGATGTGTATGATAGAAATATCAAATAGCGCTACACTATTTGAAACGCGACGGATTTGGTACGCTCGACGAGCTTTAAGCGTATAACAAAAGACCGAACTCAAAGGCAAATTCCAAAAGGGGACGTCCATAAAAACTAACAAAATCATACCCTATTAATCAACAGAACAAGTGAATAGCAACTTTAACTGAGGAAGATGACCCTTTAAAAAGAAAAAGGACACGTTTATCACGTTTGAATTATCAATACTCAATCAAAGAAGAACAGACAACAGCTTATTCGAAGGAAAAAGATAAAAAGACACACTTGTCCACAATACCCATCTCGGAAAATTAAAATTTAAGCAACACAAACACCCTCAAAAACCGGGGTGAACTATAGTGTTCTAGAAGTGTGCGCAAATGTTGATGAAAAGTACAAAACGGTTTAATTGCTTACATCCACTTTATTTGAACTTTGGTGGATAGTTGTCTCATTGGCATTCATAACTCATCTCCCTATTTTTATATTAACATAGGATTTATTGTACTTCATATTCTTTCCTCTGATTTGAGTAATTTGATGGGTACAGGTTACGATTGACTTTTCCTTGGAACATGATTGCGCTCCCGGGTTTAGAAAGTGTAATACTGCACAAGCAATCAGTTGTGTTGTTACCTTTATGTTTCCGTTGCGTTTATTATAAAGTTAAGGTTGAGCATTTGTCCATTTTCAGTTGCTTCTGACCTGTTTCATTCTTCTTGAGTTTCGATTTCTAACACTATATTTAACTATCGCTTAGCTAGTTTTCTATGCGTATAATGTAGAACCGAATCACAGACGCATTGGCAAGTCGGTGGATACTCCTCTACGAAACAGTACCATAAAAAGTTGTGTTTACAGTGATGTGGTATCAAAATAAACATCACACAAATGTGTTTTGAGACTCATTTTGCAACAATCATCATATAGGAGTTTGACAGCCAGATATTACAGAATTAGACATGTTTGTTATTTGCTGAGATATCTTAAATCTCCATATATTTAGTGGTAATGTACATTTTAAACTAAGTAAATGAAGGGGCAAATTTGATTTAAATTTAACAATAAAATTCATTGTTTTTGCTGTTTGCATTGACATGAACCAAAGCATTTAGAAAAAAAAACTGGATTACGTATCCCTACAGTTTGACACCTAAAATATATTCTACCATACTGCTAATAATCTGTTAACAGGTATGTGTAAAATTCAAATTGTTTCATTTACAGGTGACATGGTGCAAATGTCCTTGACATTCGCTGTTTTCCTAGCTCTTCTCTCGATTTACTTTGGACGAATCTAAGCAATATTTTAACAGTACAATTGTGTAAATATGATATTTTTGTATCAGTAAAATTAATGTAAAAAAATTCACAACGATGAATATCTTTCATCGGCATTTGTTGTTGTCATAATGAATTTTGCATATATATATTTGCAATATATATTGAAAGATTTTTTGTATTTAAAGCTCTTGAATAAATGTTGAAATGCGTAGTAATTTAGTTAAATGTGTGTTTTTTTAGGAAAATCCTTCCGTTCTAATTTATATGTTATATTTACTTGTTCTTGTTACAACTATATTGTTACAAATTAAAATATTATTTCTGATTTGAATTCTATATTTCTTAATACAAATGAAAAAAACAGATCCACCAAAATCAATAACTTATGCTGACCAAAACAATGTTGGCAGTTTTATTTCTTTTATTTTCGTCCCGACAACTCATGCGAGAAAAAAAATTATATTGCATGAAATGAATAAAAAAAATAGATTACTACACCAAAGCGAAATGTCTGCGTCCGCTCATATTACATTTTTAAACTCTCAGGAATGTACGGCTTGGTCATTTTGCATGTTTTGAGAATTTGGGGACTGTTGTGAAAATGTTGTCTTAACCTTATTATTATATTTTCAAGTAAAGTTACCCTGAGAAGTGAACAAAAGGTCCGATTACAGCAGGGGTTAGGAGAAATACAAAATTTTGATTATTTTACAATACTCAAAAAAGGTGTTAGTACAATAACTCCTGCATATATTGTCAATTCAAATGGACAAACAACGGTATACGAAACAAAACATATTTACTGAGCAACACTTACCCCGCCGCAATCAGAGAATGATCCTAGTTGATCCGGAAGGGTCATACGTCAAACTCTTAAAATTGGCTTGGGTCTAGACAATATTGCATCACGTAAAATGACTAAACATTAAAATAAATTTAATATTGTTGTGTCTATTATATAATGATAACAATGAACAATCACAAAATATTTATTTGTGTCTATTTTAACATGTTAACATTACAATATGTGTTCTGTGTGTAAGTACATAAGAATAAATGAACATGATATTTGTTTTTCTAAAGTTGTTAACATTTCAGTAACTGTTTCATAGAAGTCTAAATATATGTTTTAAATTTGATTTCTTTGAAACTTTGATTTATTATCATGATAAACAATATCTACAATGCATATTTCTTTTAAACAAGAAGCTCAATGGAGTCAAATTGTCATTTGGTTTTTGTTTTGTGCTTAGTACCGATGAGTCAAGCCCTTTCCATCTGATATTTACCGTTTATACTTAGTTTGTGTTGTTACAGTAAGTTCCCTTTGTTTCTCACTAGTTTTCAAGTTTTAAGCAAGTAGCATTTTGCAGTAAGAGCAAACTAAAACTGAAGAAACTGTCCTCAAAATACAAAATGACAAAAAAATAATACAGCATTCAACTAAGAGTTAGCATCCATGCCACAAGGCTAACAGGCAAAAGCTCGAAAATAATTTAAACGAGATAACTAACGAAATAATTTAAGACTATAACATTACATAATCCACATAACAGAAAGACAAAGACGACCACTAAAGACAGTATCTAAGATGCACAAATTTTTTGAAGCCATGTACATTGTTGTATATACAAAGAAAGGAAATTTTGACTTTTGATATATTAGCTATCTTTATCAAGGACCGTCAAAGTAGATTCTCGTCTAATTTCATGAACATTTTTTGCAAAATCTAACCAACATTTTAAATTCCAAAAAGTTGAACAAATATGAAAAATCCCACCAAAATATGATCATTGCCCCACTTCTTTACAAGTGACCTTCGAAATTTTGGAATACGTTACTTTAGATTTATAACATATTTTTCTAAAAGATAGTTAAAGAAATTAATAAGAAACTAAAATTCACACTCCCTCAGGCAAATTTGACCTTAAATGAATTTGGTTATTCTCTATTTGTTCCTTTTTGTCATACAACTGTTAAAGTTTTTTATGTATTTATACATCCATGGCCTTCAAATGTTTAAGTTTGAGGGTTTCTGATGAAGGTAAATCCAGAATAGCGGTTTGGACACACGAATTTATAAAGTGTTGTTTCATTTTTCAACCTTTGCTAATTTAAAATTCTGTGTAAACGTACCGTTTATATTTATCTCTAGGTTTCATTTGTACAAATTTGAATCGTTGAACATCACACCATGCACATTTGTGCGCACTTCGCAATTACAAAAGGACCAAGGCTATAAATTTTTTAACCTTTTAGCTATGAACGATCCGTTTTTTATAACTTAAAATCATATTATAAGCATTCAAATTACCTGCAAAATTCAAGTACCAATTAATTCACAAAAACGTAAACTAATAGAACTTATTGAAAACCCAACGATTATTTACAAGAAAAATGTAAATTTTGCGATTTATGCATTTTAAGTCCGTTTAAAAATTAAATATATCTAAACTATACATGATTATTTTAAATAAAAATGCTATACTTTTCTCAGCCTGTTATTATTCTAAAAATTGATATATTATTTAAATTCTTCTACACCTGTAACTCTAAAAGTTGTCGATTTTTTGGTATAGTTACTAGTATGTACAATGAAGTGATAAGAAAATACATTTTATAGCTACTTTACTCTTAATTATCATTTATCTATGATGAGCTATTTACATAATACCAGATGAAATAAAGACAACATTTAAATAGGAACACTATTCCCTAATACAAGTTTCATGTTCAGGTCAGTATAACGCTTGCTTTTAATTCACAATTTTTCGTTTCATGCTTCACTTTCAGGAATGAATTCGGTTTTTTTGGAATGCAGATCTCTGCTTGAAGGTCCGTCGTCAGATTGTGCGGGTGCAACCGAATTAATTTTAGTTGCTCTTGATTTCATTGTATTGTTCCATGTCATTTCCTGTTCATCAACCTTTATTCCTAATAGCATCTTCAGAGTTGCCCGAAATCTTGTAGCAGATGAAGAAGATACGTATAAGAAAAAGTTGACAGCAAAATTCAGCTGGTAAAAGAAGAAGAAAAATGCTCTTGCCCATTTTAACCTTATTTTTGTCGACATGAAGTAGATATAGTCTGGGTCTGTTGGAAGAACCTTCTGTGTATTATTCCATATAAGTTCTGTGGATTGTATCAATCCAAGAGGTAGGACCAGCACAACATATGCAGATGAAACAAGTAACAGAAGTTTTGTTGCTTTTTCGTCAGACTTTGACATTGACTGTGACGTCATTTGCTCCCTTTTCTTTTTGTTCTTCCGTATTTCCAGAAGAATTAATGTATTGAGTGTTACTATTGTTAGAGTTGGAAACCATGTGTTGAAAGCTACGTAGAAATAAATGATCTCTACAAATATAGCTCTTCTTGTTTTGCAGGCTGCATATCCAAATACCGAATCCCCCTCAAAGCCCGAAACGGCAATTTTATGCATTGAGAAGACAAGAACGCCTAGGGATACGCCAATTATCACGAACACTGCGCGCCTTGGCGTCATCAGTTGCTTTCCTTTGAGTGGGAATTTAATCATAATAAACCTTTCGATTGTAAAAGATACAATAATCCATATCGATAGTAAATTAAATACCTCCACTATAACGCCATGGAATTTGCAGAGATCTTCATGGTCTTGGAAATCTTTGTTTATATGTTTGTTCTGTCCTCGAAGTACTCCAATCATAAAGTTCATAGTCAAAGCAAGGCAATCATATATTGCGAGAGCGGAGAGATATAGATTCATTGTTGACTTTCGCATGTGCTTCCTGGTCAATACCAATAAAGAGGTAAGGTTGAACATTAAGCCTAATACAATAATGAAGACTGTACCATATGACAGGAGACCACGTACCAATGTCACAAAAGGATATATTTCCACCCAAAATACTCTCAGTTCGCAAGGCCATATCAGTTTGTCAAGTTCAGTAGCATTGGTAATCCCTTCTATCACTTCAAAACCAAATGGACAATTTGTATCATTCATAGTCATCAGAATCCTGAAATATACATATTTTGATTTTTTTTAAATGCATTTAATGTTGTAATAACTTCCATTATTCATAAAAAAAAGTGAAAAATTATTCAAAATTGTTTAAAAGTTGCTGTTCTTTTGTATGTGTCCGTTAAGTCTGTAGTATTAATGATAACTAAATATTAAAGCCCAATGCTACATGTGCTAAGAGTTAAAGAAAAAGTTCACCTTGAATAACATGTAATTAAGAGTTTAAAATAATTTGAAAAACTAAAATGGACACAGAATGATATGCAAAATATCAAACTTTACCCTTAAATAACACATAAATAAGTACTTAGAGAACAATCGCAATCATCAGTCGAATAAAGGAAACTTAGCAACACGAGACCAATCAAAAACCAGGATTGGCATTACGTGCTCTCAAATGATAAACATTTCCTTGTCAAATAGTAGCCACCGTCGAATTGCTCATGACAAGTGAAAATACCGTTGCATTCGATGGCAGGGCAACAAAGAGAACTGAATTTCTTGTCAACAGCAATGCTTCATCGTGTAAATTCTGGTAAGAAATGCAATTTGTGGAATATCGTATTCACTGGAATATTTCCTATAAGAATATTGACTGTTTTTTGTTGAAGTCAGTTTCCGTAAACCTGTTTGTTAGTTTGAAAGTTGTTTTTAATGAAGTATAGAAGTATAAAGGAGTACGGTGCAAGTTCTTTATGGGCAATATTTGGCCCCGATTATTAAATTATTAAATTCAATGTCTAATAGATAAAAAGTGGTTTAAGTTGACAAAAAGACACGTGAGAAACTTAAATAATAAATAGAACTAAGTTTTATTATAACGCGTTGATTGTTACATCACAAATAGTTAAAAAAAAAAATAGAGTTTTTTTGCGAAATTCGACAAAATCGTCTACATGTCAACCAAATTAATTAAGGCATAGGAAACATAGAGCGCAAGCTTCACAAACTAAATATTCAAGTCAGACATGTAAAATGTCATAACAACATTAAGTTAAAAGATTTTTATGTCGACACATGCGCTCTTTGTTTCCTGGAAAAAAATCAAAGGAAGTTTACTCCTTTTCATTGAATTTTCGTGGAAAAATCAAAATGAGTGCTTCTGTAACGTCATGAAAAAAGTACGCTAATTTTGAACAAAAAGACACATTTACTATTTAGTCATTATATTAGCTATAATTCATCAAGATATTGGTCAATAAATCCTTATTTGAAATTTTAGCTAAAAATAGGGGCCATTTTAGAGCCTAACTCCTTTTCCGTTCCATAAACAACGTACATTTGTATACGTTGTTCATTCTTTTTTTCATAAAACCCAAGTTGGACTTGTTATTTCAATTTGCTTAGAATGAGTGTCTATTCACTCATTTCAATTTATCCGAATTTAGAAATGAATAGCTTACTTTAATTTCATGAAATTGTAAAAGGAACAGGTGTTATTATCAAATCTGTTCTTCACTTTTCCCCCATTTTCCATGATAATATGATCTACGCCTACAGCACATAGTAGTGAATAAGCCTATATCATGATAGACAGCAACGTTGAAATTGCAATCGGATATATCTAAATAGGCAGACAATTCACTTACAGAATATATTTTTCGACTTAGAAATATTATATAAGCAAAAATAATTATAAAACATTGTTTAAGAAAGGGTATTAAAATCATCATGAAGCAAGGGTGTGATGAAGCATCGAGCAAACATTTTAGCAACACCGTGATTGAAGCTTAAATGAAGCAGTTGTATAGGCATAAACATGCATTTTGTCCAATAGGAAGACAGTTACTAAGACGCCATTTTGTTTGTTTTTTGTTGACATATTTGTTTGTTTTTATAGTGATTACGATTAAAACACAATGTTGACTTCTGTACCCCTATTTTTTACATTTTTACGAATTATGTCTGTTTGTTTTGTTCACACATTGCTGTCAATATAATGGAATTGTACGCGACTGTCATACAAGGCATACAAGTGAGAGGTTTAGCTAGCTATAAAATCAGATTTAATCTACCATTTTCTATATAAGGAAATGCCTGTACCAAGTCAGGAATATGACAGTTGTTTTCCATTTGTTTGATGTGTTTGAGCTGTTTATTTTGTCATTTGATAAGGGACTTTCCGTTTTGAATTTTCCTTGGAGTTCGGTATTTTTGTTATTTTACTTTTTATTGAAGATACAACGTTTTTAAAAAAAATACATTGACAAGGTTATATCAACCCTGGCCTTTTCCCCTGGTAAGTATAATGTTCATAGTGAATAAATCCTTTTTTCCATCTCATCAAATAAGGTATATTATTATTTCCATGCGCACAACACTTGCGTTTGCAGTATCTTCGTACTCTTAGAGGTGAAAGTTTCGAAAGTCAAAAATACTTGTTCTTATAAAATTGTCCACAAAAATTATCTGGGTGGAAGATCATTAATTTCATATACATGTTTAATCCATAGTTTAATTTAATGTTCAGATTAGATCATACCGATTCCAACATACATTAATTTAAACTGCAATTAATACAACAGTCAGCGATGTCAATAAACATCGCAAATGTCTAAACATTGTCATAACGGAAGTAATGGTTTTGTTCATTGGAATTGTTAGAACTGTAGTCGTATTACATAAATGTAAAATTGACTAAGAAAATTACATCGATAAACAACTTCCGTTTCTATTAACGGACAACAACATGAGAGATGAGAGATAATGGTAGGAAATTGTAAGTATTGAATAATTCAAGCAATGGAAATGGTTCTTTTGTTGAAAGGGACAGAAAAGGGAAATGCAATTATTGTGTTAATACAAGATGTAAAGTATAGCTTTATATTCAAAGCTTGTCACTAGACACAAGATAAAATCCCTAACAAACACAAAAATGAATAGAGTGTTCGAAAAACACGATTCAACATCTAAACCAATCGCCCTATCAGAATCAGCCCTTTTGCGCCAATTACTGAGATATATATTTGTGCGCCAATTTTGTTTTTCAAAGGTATCTATAGCGCCAGAATTCAAAATGCACTTTTTTCAACTTAATTACCTTTTATTATATGCATAATTATCAAATTATCGATGTTTACCTGTTACATCTTCCAGTCCTTAGATAGGAAATCATGGTACTTTACAATTAGTGACCAAATGGTACCACAAAGTGCTGTTAAAAGTATTTCCAACAATAGTATACTACCCCAGGAATAGATTACCTTAGCTGTATTTGGCAAAACCTTTCGGAATTTCGGGTTCTCAATGCTCCTCAACTTTGTACTTTATTTAGTCTTTTTTAAATTTTTTTAATCGAGCGTCACTGATTAATCTTTTGTAGACGAAAAGGGCGTCTGGCGTAAACAATTATAAGCATGGTATATTGATATTTTTTTTTATATTAGACACTTCCTACATTATTTATCACACTAAGCTACTGCAACAGACTTAAGAAGCAGACATAGCTAATTAAAAAAAAGGAAACAGTCAATTTAGTATTCATATTCATCGTTGAAAAATTCAATAATTATGAAAGCTGAGCCCAAGATCCTGTCTGTGCAGTAATCCACTGTACAAACGTTAATGTGTTATCTGCATCATTTTAGAATGAGCTAGTGAACGACCTAAAATGACTTTACTTAGCCTGTATTAACTCTTGGAGCCAAATAAGAGGCAACTTTACTGTATTAACCGATTTTATGTGGACAGTATAGGCATATAAACTTTCTACAATGCATTATTCCTTTATTTTATTAACGCAAAAGAAACGACATTAATATGGGTCGTATAATAATCTTTTTGGTTATAAAATGAAAATAACACTTTATAAGTTCCATGCGTTCGAAGCGCTTTTCTGGATTTACCTTCATTAGGAACGCTCAAAGCTTATTCGAAACCCAAGGATGTATAGAACCGAAACAGTTACAGAGCTATATGATCAAAGATGACCAAAAGACAATTTCATATAATCTGCGTAGCCACTTCTTGTTTGCAGATACTCGAGCTCCTAAAATTTAACTCATAAAGGTTTTCTCGTTATATTTGATTTCCTGACATGTTTGAAGGAGAAGGAAGTTGCGTGGTGAATAAAATAATCATGTAAATATTAACAGTGTAAATATTTTACTTTAAGACTGTTTATGATGTGAGAACTCTTAACTATTACTCTCTTCGAGTAACCACTTTAGTATGCAATGGTGTAATCTCGGTGTGAGGTGTAACTAGTGTTGGATTACACTTACAAATTATAACGATTATCCATTTTCGCGTAAATGCACATAACTGTTGACTAAACTAATAAACTGACTGTATATTTTCTTAAAGATAAGTTATTCCTTCTTCCATGTGCGTTTAAAAGATTTATTATGTTTACTGTGAATGTAATTATTGCCAATTTTAAGAATTGACCGCATATTCCAAACGTGTAAAGATATGAAAAGTAATAAAACGAAGTAAAAAGCATTCTTTGACTTTTTAATGCACAAGTCGATGTGCTACTTTCATTTATAATTGAGAGGATCAAAATATGCGCTGTGACTAGAAAGAGAAAGAACAGGCTGTTTTGGGGGTTGAGACATATGCCGAATTATGCACTATAAAATAATTTTGTGAACATTTTATAGGACTAGTATTTTCCTATTGTTTTTTTTTTTTTTTTTTTTTTTCGACAGGTTATTTAGCTACAGAGAACAAAATACATGGGCAAACATGAATGGCATGTTGTTTTGATAGACATCAGATTGATTCATCTAGCATGTGCATTTGCCAACTTTTTGAACAGCTTACTGTATCCTTAAATAATAATTATTCATATTTTACAACAGCTTTATTTTTTTTTATAAGTAAACTAACTAGGACTATTTTATTTGCTATTTTATCAATTTGTTAATCATTGCATAGCTCTATTCCTTGTCCGGGTTGTGCTTTACTTTTTGTCCTTTTTGGCTATTTTTAAACGTTTGTATTAGCTTCTGGATTTCAAAATAGTTCGGCATCGAGCA